GAATGAGTCGACCCAGTGGTGCTCCGGGTCGGGCGCGGAGATGAGCTCCTCCACCAAGCCCTGCACCGAGGCGAGCCGCATCCCGGCGGGCGGCGCGGCGAGCGAGAAGAACTGGACGCCGGCGCCGCTCTCCTTGAAGGGGTTCACGTCGCCGATGAAGTCCATTTTGATCACGAGCGACAGCTCACCGCAGAAGCCGCGGAGCGTGTCGTAGAGCGGGTACCATCCCGAGAGCTGCGTCGGCTGCAGCAGCAGCGGGTTGAGGTCGACCGTCACCGCGCCAATCTCATCGTCCGAGGACATGATATCCTTGTCCCAGCAGCGGATCTGCAACGGGTGGTCCTGCAGCTCGTTGTCATCAGCCACCTCGATCCGAAACTCGCGGTTCCACAGCGGGTTGAGCGTGCGGCGGGCGACGTGCGTGCGGAGCTGCGGCGCATCGGCAAATTGCAGCGTGATGTACGCGTCGGTGAGTTCCGTCGTCCGATCCATCACCGGCAGATTGCGCGCGGAGCAGACGCGAATCTTTATCACGGCCGGCATGGGCAGCAGCCGTCGCAGCGGCTCGCTCTCGCCCCGCCGAGAAAAAGAATTTTAACTCCTGCGTGGTCCTATCCTTAAAATGCAGAGCGTGCAAAGCGGCTAGGGATGAGGCCACAAAAGAGGCGCGCGAGGCGAGGAGGAGACGCGGGGAGCTGAAAGACTGGGACGACTGGAAACAAGAAGACAGTGAGCCACCACAGGCGTCGTTGGCGCACATACTGAGCGGCAGCTGCGCTGGAAATAAGGAAGAGGCGCGTCACTTCATGCGGAAGCTCGACAAACACACAGCGAGGGCGACAGCAAGAGTTGAACGGGAGGCGCCGGACTCAAAAGACACCGCCACATTCCTGAGACGAGCGAGGGCAGCCTCCTTAAAGGCGAAAGGGTCTAGATTTGGAGCGCTCGCCGAAGAGGAGTACGACAAAATAGCGCCCGTGATTGCCTGCACGCTACCCGCACTCACGGACTCCATACCCGAAAGAAAGAGAAGGGAGCTCGCGGGAGAGGTGACGAGTGAACTACAGGTAGTGGGGAAGGCAGCCTCGATTGCCATACAGACATGGGTGCGAAACAACGACAAGACCAAGGCACGGGCAGAGGAACGAGAGAAGAATATAGGGTGGATAAAGCGCCTGTTCACGGCATGGAGGGTGAGCCACACCGAACGTACCGAGCGAAGAGCCGAACGGAAGGAGGACGGGGAAGATGACTCCGAGGAGGACGAACCAGTGGAAATTCAGTTGTCAGATGTCACGATGCATCCGAAGGGGACCCCAGCGCCGGCATCATCCGTAGAGGCACGAGTGTTCGAAGAGAGAGTGGACCTGAGCAACAACATGACCTGCAGGCAAATGATCGGAGTGGGAGTCAGAAATGTGGTCCTTGCGCGAGGGGAGCTCGATAGACTCGAGGGGCCAGGATATGCAGCAAGGAGGGCGGAGCTGCGCCGAAAGGCGAAAGAAGCCGAGAGAACAAGGGAACGGCAGGCGGCGGCGGCGCAGGACGAGGCAGAAGAGAATGACGCGACAGAGGAGGAAGTGACAAGGGAGAGAACGACGAGAGTGGGACGGCCGCGAGGTGGCATGAAGGTTGCAGCGAGAATCGGCGAGAGACTGCGAAAAGAGATAGGAAGAGGCAGACTCCCTAGGGTGGGCGACGGCTAGCGCATCACACTCCTCTCCTTAAAATCCCTGTGTGGTGGCGGCGTGCCGTCCTCCCATCCCTCCCTTGGGTTGTCTGTTTTCTTTCTTTCTTTCTTTAAAATCACACCCTCCTCTCCTTAAAATCCCTGTGTGGTGGCGGCGTGCCGTTCTCCCATCCCTCCCTTGGGTTGTGTGTTTTCTTCGTTTCTTTCTTTCTTTAAAATCCCTGTGTGGTGGCGGCGTGCCGTTCTCCCATCCCTCCCTTGGGTTGTGTGTTTTCTTTCTTTCTTTTTCAAATTCCTGTGTGGTGGCGGCCTGTCTCTCGCCCTCACTGTCGTCTATGCTGGGCTCTTGTTTCTTATCGACCTTCTGTGAATCCCTGGGCGAGGTGGTGTGGAGGGGGTCGTCGGACGTCGCGCGTCGGGAGAGTGTTGTCGCGTCGGTGTGTCGGAGTTGGCGGGTACATCTTGTTGGTTGGCCCGTCGTCGGCAGAGCTCACCCAAAATCTACAGTAGTGGTGCGATCGTGCGATCTGAGGACTGAGCTGTGCCGTTCTCCCATCCCGCCCTTGCTCTTGGGCCGCGGGGCTTTTTTTCTTTGGACTTTGGTCTTTGCGGCCGAGACTTAAACACAAACTCTTTATTGATCTGAAAAATAATCGAGCCCCCGGAAACATTTGCTATCGGGCGACTAGAGGGTAGTGGAACGTGTCAAAAACCTCCCGCTCGAGCCGGCCCACGATCGCGCGCGCGTCAGGCGTGAAGTCGAGGGCCGGCCCGCGTGGCGCATCCGTGCACCCAAACCCGCCATCCCGCCTCCACCACTGCGGGTCGCATCGGCCGCTGCAGTGGCAGCTCTTGCGCTTGCTGTAGCCCGAGCCGGGCTCGACGTGCGGGAGGGGTAGGCGGGGCAAGCCGTAGCGCGCCGCGAGCGCAGCCCAGTCCCGCGCCAGCGACTCGGTGTGCAAGGTGAAGTCTGCAGCGCAGCCCGAGGCGGAGCCACCGCACGCGCGCTTGATGCGTCCGCTCAGCGAGAGGCAGCGCGAGAAGTTGGCGCTGCACGTGGCAGCCAGCGGCGTGCTCTCCACCCAGGATAGCAGCCGAGGCAGCGTTGCGAGGACGCCGGCCTGGCTCCGGCTCACGCGTGCAGAGCGTTGGAACTCGTTGGAGAGCGCATTGAAGGTGGCGGAGAGGCGCGTCCCCGCCATTCTCCAGGCATAGCGAAGCACGGACTGCCAGTAGGCGTACGGATCTCGGACGCTAATCACGACAGCTGTGGGCACGCCTGCCTCTTCGCACCGGCGGCGGCAGGCTCGCAGCGCCACGTCCCCTCGGCCGTCGGTGCCGACGTGCCCCATGTTGGTCCAGTAGCCCGCGCGCGCCCACTCTTGCGTCGCGCATTCGACTGACGATCCGCCGGTCTTTTCAACGTGCACAAAGAGGAGATGGTGCGTCGCCCCCGGCGCTAGCTTGCAGGGAGAGGCTGCGGGGCAGCAGTTGTTGGGCCGCCCGAGGTCGTCCTTCCGGCTGCAGTCGTGTCGCATGCAGAATCCGGTCCTGTTGAGGCCGGAGCGGCGCATTGCAGCCCGCACAAAGTCCTTCTTGTTCACCTTGTTCAACAACCCACGCCCTCGCGTCGATTCCATCCTCAGGTGAGCGCGCGTCCCCACAACTTTTAGAGTATGTGGAGATATTCTTTTCTCCTGTGCCCGGAGGAAACGTGAGCGACCGCGTCCCACCCCGCCGAGACGTACCAACAAAGCACAAAACCTTGGCGCCACACGCACACCCACCACCACGGCCGAAGCCACGGCCGCAGCGCTAGTGCGCCCCCGGGGCCCTCGCCTCTCAAGTACTAGGCGCGTCACAAAATGATCTGCGGCTCGCTGATGGACTCTTTGATTCGCTTGTGCGGCAACACGAGGCCGCCGTTGATGAAGATCTCGCCGCCCACATGCACGTCCTCGCCGAGCACCGTCACGCCTAACGCCGCAGAGAGCCACCCTCGGGCGGCGGGGCGGGCCGCGAGACGCCGCCCCGGGCGAGGCGGCGCCCTCGATGCGGGTCCAGCAGCCGACGGACGACTCCCACCCGAGGATCGAGTCGAGCACCGTCGAGTGCGCCGCGACCCGCACCTACAGCCTCGCGCGCGCCGCTGCGTGAGGAGGCGGAGGAGGCGGGCGGCCGCGGCGGCCGGGTGGGTGCGTTTCGCAGCAAGATGCACCGCGCCAGCCGCACGCCCTCCTCGACGACGCAGCCGGGCCCGACCGAGACGTCTGGCCCAATGAGGCAGTTGGCGCCGATCTGCGCGCTCTTGTCGACCAGCACCGAGCCCTGGACCTCAGTGCCTCCGTGGAGCTGGGAGCAGGCTGCGCCGGTGAGCTGGTCCGCTGCGACGCGGGAGAGGTACTGCAGGTAGAGGGCGTGTCCCTGCGCGAGGGCGGCGGGGCGGGCTGACGCGCCAGCGGGGGCAGGGCAGGGGCGAGGGGAGGGGGCAGGGGAGGGGGCGAAGGGAGGGGGCGAGGGGGGGGTCCTGCAGGAAGTCGCGCGGCTGCTTGACGTTCATCCAGTAGCCCTCGAGGGCCATCGAGTAGAGCTGCTGCTCCGACGCGAGCTGCGGCAGCACCTCGCGCTCCATCGACACCGCCCTCACGACCCGCAGCCGCTCGACAAGGGAGGGCGAGAAGATGTAGACGCCCGCGTTGATCAGGTCGCCTGCGAGCGGCGCACCGGCGCTGAGGCACGCGGCGCGAGCAGCGGGCGGGCAGGCACTCGGGCGGCGCCGGCGAAGGTGCGGCCGTGCTCGACGAAGCGCTCAATCAGGCCCGTGGTGTGCGCCTGCACGACCGACTTTCCGTACTTTGCCGGCTGGTCGACTCTCGTCACCATGATGGTGCCCAACTTGCCGTGCGCCTGCGGGGCGGGTGCGGGGCGGGTGCAGCGTTGGGGCCCCGGGCGAGAGGGGCGGGCCCCGGGCGGGCGCGCTGCTCCTTGTGCAGCGTGTAGAGCGAGCGAAGGTTGAAGTCGCAGGCGACGTCGCAGTTGATGACGAAGAAAGGCTCGCTGTCGCCGAGCAGGCCGCGCTCGTGCGCCAGCGCGATCGGCCCGGCCGTGCCGAGCGGCTCGTCCTCCTGCATGCACGTGATCTGGATGCCGAAGCGGTCCTGCGAGAGCAGCGCCGGAGTCAAAAGGCGGGCGCAGCGGACTGCGGGGCGAGGCGCTGGACCTGGTACTCATCGAGAAAGCCTCGCATGATCTCCGCGCGGTAGTTGATGGCGAGCACCACCTCATTCACGCCGGCGCGCACGAGCGCCTCGATGAAGTGCAGCAGCAGCGGCTTGTTTCCAAACTCGATGAGCGCTTTCGGTTTGGAGAGCGTGAGTGGCCGCAGCTGCGTGCCGAGACCGCCGACGAGAATCAGCCCTTTTGGCGCCGGGACCGACATGCCAGCGCGCTGTCGGGCGGCCAAAAGGTTGAAGAAAAACGACTCAATAGTCACTTGGGTTTTAGGTATGTTGTTGGCAAACCAAGACACAGAGCTCACACAGGATCACAGTCACTCGGGTGGTCTGCTTTCTTCCTTTTCTTTCTTTCTTAACGGACTGCGCCTCACCACTGACCGGGTGGTGCCAAGTGGGCCACCACTCGCGGAATTGCGACTCGCCGCTTTCCTCCCGCTGTGATTTGTGTGAGCTCTGTGTGTGTGAGAGAGAGAGATTCTTCTTCTTCTGTGTGTGCCTTGATCTGCTAACAACGAACCGAAACCTCGCGCATTGTGGCATGAAATTCTTCTTTGGGGTGTCCGTCACTCCGGGACCGTGCTCAACCTAGACACGCGCTCTGCTCTCTCTCTCTCTCTCTCCCTCTCTCTCTCTCTCTCTCTCTCTCTCTAACTCACTCACTCTCTCGCTCCTTCTCTCTCTCTCTCTCTCTCTCTCTCTCTCTCTCTCTGTGTGTGTGTGTGTGTGTGTGTGTGTGTGTGTGTGTGTGTGCTTTCGGGGGAACCCTTGAGCGTCTTGACAGGGTCGCGCCCTTCCCACTCGCGCCTCCGCCAGCCGCGGGTGCGCCTCGGGAGTGGGCGCCTCTCTAAACATCAAACCCACAACCCCGTGACGCGGCCCGTGCGCCATACGGCTTAAGATGCAGCACACAAGAGGGTTTGTCCAGCGCATATCGCGAATCCTTATTTTGCAGGGCTGTCGGATTTTTCCGCGCCTCGAAATTCGTAACAATCGCCTCGCCGCTCCACAATGCCTTTCTCCGTTGCCTCCAGCCGCGCGGCGCCATCGTCCTCGATCCAGTGCCGGCCTGTGACAAGCTTGGCAGCTCGCGGATCGACGATCGCCACGAGCTGCTGCCTGGCGACCGCCGCTCGCCTTCGACGACAGTCGTAACAATCGGCGGTGAGCGGCACCTCCTTGGCCCAGCACCGGTGTTATCACGTCTCAGCTGCTTCATTGCCATGTCCAGTTATGGCGGAGACGCGCTGATAGCATTCCTGTGCACGCAGTTGGACCAGCATGGCCATCGGGTGCGTGGCGCAAAAAGACCTGTTTGCGCTGTCTTCGATATCAGCGGCTACATGCGCTGCTGCGCGTACCTGTGACGCACACATGTTGATCACATCCATATACCTCACTAACATACAGCTGGCGAGTCTTGCATCCCTCGTCTGGCCATGCTGTGCATCATCTCACCGTATGCAGCCGTATACGCCCACGGCAGGGCTGGTGGATTAACATTAACACACCTCAGGGGCAGCTCTGACTACAGATCGTGCCAACACTTGGCGCAGAGGTCGGTGTTAACACAGTTGAACGGCAGTCCCAAAACAAGCGTTAACACAGCCGTTAACACGGTGTTGACACACGCTCCGGGTAAAACCCGGGTATACCTGCAAAAAACCGGGTATACCCGAGAAATACCTGGGTCCGCGTCAATGCCGCGCGCGCCCTACTCCCAGGGCCACTGCGCCAACTGCAGCGCGCACCGTCTGCTCAAGTACGCGCACCGCACCATGTGCTGCCGCTACAAGTGCCAGAAAGCGGCTGCGGCGCAGCGGCAGGCGCGGCTGGCAGGTGGCGGTGCGGACGATGCGGTCGTGCCGACATTCTGCTTCAAGATTGATGCGGTGCTCGGCATGCGCTTCTGCGAGCCCGAGCAACTCATCGCAAAGAAGCGGCGCAACAGGCTGGCTGCTGCCGACAAGGCCGTGTGCTACCTCACGCGAGGCACCTTCAAAGAGGACAGCAATGACGCTGGATTCATCGACACGCGCTGGGTGGAGCTCGAGGAGCTGTACGAGAACTGTGGCAAGACGCCGCTGAAGAATGCGCTCAAGAAGTACCGAAAGGCGGAAGAGGAGGATGTGGATGCAGCGATTGCCGACTTTGAGGAGGGCGTCGAGCACGAGGGATAATAATGAATGGGACATGTTCGCAATCGCAGCTGCGGGTGTGAAGTGAATATGCTAGACGGCGGGTCAACACCTCCCGAGGGGCGGTGTTAACACGTTTTAACACCTCTACGGCTGTGGTGTTAACCGTTAACGTGTCAACACCGTGTTAACGTTAATCCACCAGCCCTGGCCCACGGTGCTCACAGGGTCGGGCGTCACGGTGCTCGTGGCAAGCATCTCCGTCACTCTTGTGACTTGTGGGCTTGGTGGTGTTGCCTCCGGTGCTACTGCTGGCTAGGGTGCCAATGGCGCGACGGGAGGCGGCCATTGGCGCCACTACAGCAACGATTGTTAGGCCGTGGAAAAATCCGGAATTCGTGCCCCGAACCGGCCGACAGCGACACGTGGCCGCATATATGTATATATACCACGTCCGTATGGGCTGCACAAGCCAAACCACGCTCATCGACAGGAGCTTGCCACAGTGTGCAATCACGCTCCCGGGACGCCGGAGAGATCGGGTTGGTCTCCCCCGCCTTCAGCCCTGACCCGACGGGGACGCCACCACCCTCGCCCAGGGATCTACAATGCTGTCTTAAGGTCCGACAGGTTCGGCACCGGGCACCGCCTCGGTATACAAAATGCGCCTGCGGGCGGACCCTTACAGATCACAGATCACAGTGTGGTCCCTGGCAGGGGTAAGCCATATTCTTGGTGTACCAGCTCACAGGAGGGCCGCTTGAACACGATTGTTACACGGCGTGAAAAATCAAGTAATCGCGAGAGGGCGTCACGAATCAGGCGAATCGCAATCGGGAATCGGAATAAAGAAAATGCACAAGATCTGAGATGAGCAAGAACGCGCTGACACCAGGCGTCGAATAGGAAAGAAAGGAAACGTAGTGACTGGGATCGACATGTGTAGTAGACATATGCAAGACCAACGCGTGCATCAGCGGCTCACGCCTTGGAGATCCCCAGCCGCCGCGCCATGGGCGTTGTCGGCCAGAGATTTTGGAGGCACCAGCCGATACAGAAGGTCGGCACCACGTCGGTGAAAGGCAGGATCTCCTCCAGGAAGCCGAAGCCGCTCACGAGAGGGCTCTTGAAGAGGGCCCAGAGGAGACCCGCCTCTGCGGGCGCAAACGCGACGTCGGTGAGCTCGCCGAGGACAGGAACAAGTTCCGAGGCGTCGCCGGCCAAGTCGAGAGCGACGCAGCCCGCGAGCTTCGCCCAAGCCAGCCCGTCGATCCGGTCCGTGTCTGGCTTGAGCTCTGTCGCCACGCGATTGCCGAGCTCGTCCATCACCGGCTTCTCGAACCGGTAGCGAACCTCGCTGATGATGTAGCGAGTGCCGATCGCCACGAGGATGGAGATCAGAAGCGCGTGGCTCGACTGGAAGGACTCGAGCGTGGCGAGGAGGCCTCCGCCGCCGTCGTCGGCAAGCGCCACCGGGGCTGGCGCCCGTGCGGTGCGACGAAGCACGGGAGGGACGGCGGTGCGAAGCACGGGAGAGACGGCGGCGGTGCGAAGGCGAGGTGAGGACCCACCGACGATAGCTGAGCTGGTGGTCAGGAGGAGGAGAGGATGCATCCGGGCCTGGGCCAGGCGCTACGAACACAACTCCGGGCCCTTCCTTCGCTGCCTTCGCGCTAACCACAGGTGGTTCGGCTCCCACCCAGGGTTCCGGCTCCTACCCGGATAGGGGGTCTGTTCCCACTGACTCGCGCCAAAACGCCCTACCTACCTACCTATCCCCAGGCCGCGCAGCGAAGCGAAAAAAGATGAAAATAGGGGCTACCTACCTATTGCAGGGCCCTTTTGGGCGAAACAAGACCAACCTACCTACCTATCTGGGAGGGAGGGGCCAGCCAGTGGGAACAGACCCCCTATCTGGGTAGGAGCCGGAACCCAGCTTTTTTCGCCCCGACAGGGTTCCAACTTTTTCCGGGGTGTGGTATGGTCCAGCATCCCAAAGGGGGGGGGTCTTGTCCTGCCCGGTAGGGAAAGGCATCACCACACAGACGGCAGAGACATTTCTCATTTGCACCCGCTCGCCCGCCCCCCGCCCTGGCGAGTAGAGGCCCCGCCCACCCAGGGTACCCCTCTCGAGGGACCCACTGGGTAGGCTCTTTCGAGGTCTCGCCGGGGCTCCGCTCCAAGAAACCTCGAGAGTGCGTGCGTGTGCCTCTACTCGCCCGCCCCACGCCGACCCCACCGCTCGCGCGCGTGTCCTCCGCCCGCAGGCCGCAGCATCCGCGTCCGTCCGCTCGCATGTCGCAACTCCCCGCTCTGTCGCTGTCTATCTCTCGTCTCTCTCAGTCTCACTCACGCGTGCGTCGTGCTCGCGAAACCTGTGGCTCCTGCACTCCGGGCATCTCTGCCGCGCGGCCACATCTCTAGATAGACACACCACGGGGGCGCCCCGCACCCAGCAGCTCGAGCCCCGACTCGATGTATCGCACTGGCCCGGAGGCGGGCAGACAGAAGCCGCGCGACGAACAAGGCACGGGAAGCCGTGGACCTCGCACCACTGCCACCAGCCACAGAATGGCGAAGCTCGCGACCGACGGCTCCCTGCGCCGCGCACGGCCACGCACTTCATCTCGTCGTGTGGACGGCTGCCATCGAGAACCGGCGCCCAATTGTCGCAGCGACCTTCATATGCCACCTCGCGGTCTTCCCACTCTCGTCGTTCTCTCTCCTGCCGGTGCCGCTTCATCCTCTGACTCATCGCTCTCCTCGGCCTCATTCCTACATTCCGCGACGGCGCCGTTGCCTGCCGATCCCTTGCTCTCGCGGCTCTTTCTCGCCTCTCGGCGTGCTCTCCGCTCTCCTCGCAAAAGAAATAATCACAAACGGCCACCTCTACTGTTTGTTGTTAGGATTTGTGTGTATGGAGTTGGGTTAAAAGGAACAGACAGACAGGTTCCGCTCTCCTTCCTCGCAGCGTAGACCGTAGTTCGGCCGCTCGAGTTTATCGAGCTCAGTCTCCGCAAGGACCACTCTTCTGACTCCCACTCCGGTCATTTGCCGCAAAGTTTGATCCACTCTCGGCTTACTTTTCTCTTGGAGCACTTGGAGTGCAGTCATCCAACCTCCCATCCAGGGCCGGGCTAGGGGCGGCGGTTAGCTCTTTTCTCAGGTCTTGTGGCGTTTGAGCAAAGGGCGTGCATGATCATCCTCATCCTCTTCTTGGTCGCCGCCGTGCGCCGTCGCCGACACAAGCTTCGACTGTCCCCCATACCGGAGCACCTCCTCGTAAACGAACGTTGCAACGTCCTCTCCAACGACACGACAGGGTGTGCGAACGCCGTTCAAGCCCAGTACGCGAGGGAGAGGATGCGATCGCCGCTGCTGAGAGGGATGAAGGCCATCGCATGGGATGACGGAATGTGTTTCGACGGCATCTCTCGCGTCCACTCGGCTGCTCTTGCTCGGGCCATTCGCCACGAGGGAAATGGCATGTACAAGAGTGATGCGTGTCGGCTGGCGCAGCTCGCGGAACACGGCGGATACTACCTCGACAATGACGTCGTGCCTCACATCGACGTTCGCGAGCTCGGAGCTGCGAGGGTGGGCTGTGCCTCGCATCCATCCTTCATAGCCGTACGTCAATCTTGGGAGCCAGTGCAGTTCCTAAACGCCTTCGTTGCAGCGACTCCGCGTCACCCTATCATCATGCGCGCGCTCAACCTCACCGCGCGCTTCTACAATGTGGACACGCCCCCCGAGCGAGGCGGGCTGGATGGCGGTCTGCGAGGTGCGAGGCGGGGCGGCAGCTATCTCGGAGACCGCGATGCCGCCGGTCCTCTCAAGCGGCGGCTGCACGGCCGACGCTTGTTCTGGATGGGGCCGCTGACGCTACGGGTGGCCTACGGCGCGTCGCGCGTCCCCCCCCCCCCCCCACACACACACCAACACACTTACTCCAATCCTCTTGTCTTACAGAGTGGTGGGTCGGACGTTCGATGGGAAACCTGCCTTACACGGACCCGGGGTCTACCGCTTGCGACGCGTTGCTCCTTTGGGAGCACAGGCCGCGACAGAGAATGTTGGACTGCGCCCAAGGCCCGCTCGCGGCGGTGCTGTGCCACGCGACGCGTCCAAGGACGTGGTGGCGATCCACAGCCGTCCAGCAATGTGTTGAAGGAGAGCGTTGCCCGCGTTCAATCATGTCGTCGCGGTGCCAGGGTTGCTGACAGATGTTCCAGTTCTACGAGAGCGAGCAGGCTGATCTGCTCCCACTCGACCTAGATACTGTACGTTACTTGTGCGACACGGCCTCTCTAGGGCAGGTGCATTTCGTCTGTGGCCTGTCATCACACGTGTTCGGCCCGCTTACAGCAGTTCGGTTCCTCTCACCTTTATCATATCAAACACCCCGCGGCCGCGCGCAACTTTGCATTCAAGATTCATCTTTTGTCTTTTGAATGATCTCGCGGTTCGCGCCAATGATGCTTCCCGTTCCCAAGGCCGCCTTCGTGGCAACCCGCCGGCCTTGCCCCGTCGGGCCCGTGCCCTCGCAGGCGGGACGCATCAAGCTTCTCTCCCTTTCGGCGTAATCTACGCGGTTGCAGGGTTCGTGATTTCACATGGAAACAGCGAATCGGTTTCACTTTCACTTTCACTTCACATTTCATGTGAAACGAAATTTCACTTTTTCGAGCGAGTGTGAAGAGTCGTGTGAACGTGATGACGGATGCTCCCACCGAGTTCCGACACTCTGACACTCACTTGCACAGGTGTTGGCTCCCAAGCAGCAGCCAAGATGAAGGAGGCTGGAGATATTGGTCTCGCTGAGCTGATGTGTACACTAGACCTATATGAATCTCATGGCATGCTGTGGGCGAATACGGTGCTGATGGTGGGATGAACTCTCTCAGCAGTCGAGAGTCGACTCTCGACGCATCGGGAGGGCGGCCGCGGCGGTGTAGGGGCGGCGGCGAGCTCCCGGTTGCAAATACTCGCCTCACAGTCCAAGATGGCGGCTCGCGCCCCCATCCGTGCACCAGCGTGCCACTCTAGTCCCGCCTGCCGCCCAGATACCGAGGGCGGGGCGCACTCTTCGACTTGGGCTAGTATTTGCCACCGGGAGGGCGGCCGCGGCGGTGTAGGGGCGGCGGCGAGCTCCCGGTTGCAAATACTCGCCTCACAGTCCAAGATGGCGGCTCGCGCCCCCATCCGTGCACCAGCGTGCCACTCTAGTCCCGCCTGCCGCCCAGATACCGAGGGCGGGGCGCACTCTTCGACTTGGGCTATTATTTGCCACCGGGAGGGCGGCGGCGGCGGTGTAGGGGCGGCGGCGAGCTCCCGGTTGCAAATACTCGCCTCACAGTCCAAGATGGCGGCTCGCGCCCCCATCCGTGCACCAGCGTGCCACTCTAGTCCCGCCTGCCGCCCAGATACCGAGGGCGGGGCGCACTCTTCGACTTGGGCTATTATCTGGCCTCGGGAGGGCGGCGGCGGCGGTGTAGGGGCGGCGGCGAGCTCCCGGTTGCAAATACTCGCCTCACAGTCCAAGATGGCGGCTCGCGCCCCCATCCGTGCACCAGCGTGCCACTCTAGTCCCGCCTGCCGCCCAGATACCGAGGGCGGGGCGCACTCTTCGACTTGGGCTATTATCTGGCCTCGGGAGGGCGGCGGCGGCGGTGTAGGGGCGGCGGCGAGCTCCCGGTTGCAAATACTCGCCTCACAGTCCAAGATGGCGGCTCGCGCCCCCATCCGTGCACCGGCGTGCCACTCTAGTCCCGCCTGCCGCCCAGATACCGAGGGCGGGGCGCACTCTTCGACTTGGGCTATTATCTGGCCTCGGGAGGGCGGCGGCGGCGGTGTAGGGGCGGCGGCGAGCTCCCGGTTGCAAATACTCGCCTCACAGTCCAAGATGGCGGCTCGCGCCCCCATCCGTGCACCAGCGTGCCACTCTAGTCCCGCCTGCCGCCCAGATACCGAGGGCGGGGCGCACTCTTCGACTTGGGCTATTTTATTTGCCACCGGGAGGGCGGCGGCGGCGGTGTAGGGGCGGCGGCGAGCTCCCGGTTGCAAATACTCGCCTCACAGTCCAAGATGGCGGCTCGCGCCCCCAAGCATCCATGCTCTGATGTGTCGCTTGGGTCGCCTCTGCTGCTGTGTCTCTGTCTTAGCCAGATATCGAGAGCGCGCGACGACAACCAACCCCTTACCCTAACCCTAACCCTAACCCTAACCCTAACCCTAACCCTAACCCTAACCCGAAGAACCCAAAGCGTTCACCGAGAGCTCGTGTCGACGGACCGCTGATTCCGCCATTTGGTTTCGGCCCAAACCGGACCATTCTCTTAGGAGCTGCACAACGGCTTGAACGCTCTCTGACCCTAACCCTAACCCTAACCCTAACCCTAACCCTAACCCTAACCCTAACCCTAACGACACGGTGCTTCTTAAGAGGCCGTGCGCGTCGCTGCCGACGCATCTCGCGTGTATGGTGTATTTGCAGTGTATTTCGGCGGGGGCGCGCCAGGGGCGCGCATTAAAAGAACATTGAGGCAACACACACGTCCTCGAGCGCCCGAGGACACGAACCAAGCTGCACCTCCTCTCACTTTTTTTTTTAAACGGGCAAACTCTAGACGAGATGGGATTTAGGGACATGTGTCCCCGCCCTGCACGGTCTTGGTGTGAGGGATCTTCAATCCGTGTCCCCTCACCCCTCGTCACAGTTATTGTGGGCTCTTTCCTTTCTACACTTCCTCGCTTTCAAACACCGCGTTTTGATGCAGTGAGGGCGGGCCCCTGTTCTTTGAGCCTTGGGAACGACCACGGCCTTGACCACGGCCTCGCTGCAGGGAAGCAGGAACGCGCGGCATTGGTGGCACAGAGATCCCTACCGGTGCCGGCAGTGGTAGGCGCACCGCCGCTCTCTCCGCTGCCGCCTCCGCCGCTGCCGCCTCGACTGCTGCCGCCTCGACTGCTGCCACCTCCGGCTCCGCCGCTGCCGCCTCGGACCGTCGCTCGGAGATGCCAGAGCCTTCGAATAAATAAATAAATAAAAACGGTCAAACTCTGAGACGAGATGGGATTTAGGGACATGTGTCCCCGCCCTGCACGATCTTGGTGTGAGGGATCTTCAATCCGTCCCCTCACCCCCTGGTCTCACTACCCGACACTAGAAGAGCAGCAAGAGTTGGGGCTGCGGCTACGGCTGCGGCTGCGGGAGGGGCTATGGTCGCGGGAGAGCCGCTGCGCCGCGTGGGCGCGCCTACACCGCGCTTGCTCCGCAGAGCCTTCGAAAGTAGTCGAACTTGTGAAATTTTCAGTGAAACGGGGGCGGCCGAAACGTTTCATGTGAAATTCACATGAATTCACATGTGAAAGTGAAAGTGTGAAAATTCACTCACGAACCCTGCGCGGTTGGGGTTGCGACCGTATTTGTAGCGCCCACGACTATGTGCCCACACGCCCTGGCCGGTGCGCACACTCACCTCTCTCAGTCTCACCACTCTGTCGTACTTCGAGTTTTGAGAGGCAGGAGTTGTGTGTTGTGATAGTTCCCGAGAGACGAGGTGAAAACTTCGAACGCATTCTCTCACACGAGACACACGTGACCCAAAACATCAAAAATAACGTATCACCTCGAGAGGCACCTCCGGTTCAGTACTCTAACTAGTAACTTCCCGCAGCTCCTCGCTCAGGGCGGGAACTGTGACGAGAGTTGGGGCAACTCTGGCCAGGAATCATCACACGTGTCACATGGCTCTCTCCAAGGTCTGCGACTCGAGCGGTCTCATCACAACATGTAGCAGTTGGCTGCGCGCGCCAGCCAGCCAGCCGCACGCACGGCACGCAGCACGTCTGCATGGCTGCGACGGCGCCTCTCACGCAGCCACTGCACGTGAAAGAAAGAAAACCCGCCCCAACCAAACGAGGGGTGGGAGGAGGACAAGGTCCCCACCCACCTGCACGAGTAGGATTTTGGAAGGACGATCAGGCAGGGACACACAGAGAGGGAAAAGCGAGTCTCTCTCACACAGGGGAACGGGAGTGGGGAGCGCATCGCGACACGGAGCAGGGAGCAAGACACACGCACAAATGGTCCAGAGTGCAAGTCGCACCCGGCGGCACGGGGGCAGGCACGGGCCTCCTACTGAGTGAAGAAAAAAGAAAAACACGCAGAAATTCTCGTCTCTCGCGGCCAAGGCTTGGAGTCCACGAGGCCACACACAATGAGCGGCTTCTGGGGCCTCGAGGTGAAGCCGGGCGCCAAGCCGACCCCGCTGCGCAAGCAGCCGGGCGAGATGGTCATGGTGCTCAAGCAGGCGGCGCTCGCGCCCACGGGAAAGCTCAGCGCCGACCCGAGCGTGCTCTCCGTGTCGGTCGGCTCTGACACCAACGAGCGCTTTGTGCTGTGCCACCTCGCGTCGGGCAAGTGCGAGCAGTGGGCAATCGACCTGGGCTTCGGCCCCGACGAGGAGGTCAACTTCCACCTCACGGGCAAGTGCGCGGTGCACCTGACTGGCTTCTACGAGATGGACGACGACAGCGACGACGAGGACGAGATGGACAGCGAGGAGGAGGAGATGGCGCGGATGCAGGTCGCTCCACCCCACCGCCCGCCCGGCTGCTATCCGCGCGCGCGATGATGATGCACTTCATTCGCAGTTCATTCCTCAGCGAGGGACCAATCCTCCCTCGATGAAGGCCAACTCTTCCTTGGATGTCTGAGCGCCCCGAGACCCTCACCCCAGCGCCTCACCCCATGCCTGGCCGCGGCTGAGACTCCGCCGCGGCGCCGCAGGGCGAGGCCATGGAGGAGGACGAGGACGAGGAGAGCGGCGAGGAGGAGGAGGGCGAGGAGGAGAGCGGCGAGGAGGAGAGCGGCGAGGAGGAGAGCGAGGAGGAGAGCGAGGAGCGGCGGATTGTGGAGCTGGATGCCAACGGCAAGGAGGTCAGTGACGACGGCGAGGATGAGGAGGAGGAGAGCGGCGAGGAGGAGGATGAGGAGAGCGGCGAGGAGGAGAGCGGCGAGGAGGGCGAGGAGGGCGAGAGCGAGGAGGAGAGTGAGGAGTTCACCAAGGAGGAGCTGGCCCAGAAGCGCAAGCAGCTCATCGAGGGGATGGACATGGAGGGTCTGGGCGACGACGACGACGACGACGACCTCGACGACCTCGACGACGACGAGGAGGACGACCTCGACGACGAGGACGACGAGGAGGACGAGGAGGACGAGGAGGACGACGAGTCGGAGGAGGAGGAGGCGCCGCCGCCGCCCAGCAAGAAGCGCCAGCCCGTGACCCCGGCTGCCTCCGCCAAGAAGCAGAAGACGGAGGCGAAGCCGACGCCGACGCCGAAGCAGGCGGCCGCTGCCAAGGCCCAGCCGGCGGGCGCCGGCACGCCTGGGGCGGCGGGCTGGACCGCTGCGCAGGAGGCGGCGCTGAAGAAGGCGGCGGCGGCGACTGACGCCTCGACGCCGAACCGGTGGGCGAAGGTGGCGGAGAAGGTGGGCGGGGGCAAGTCGAAGGACGCCTGCAAGAAGCACTTTAAGGAGCTCGGCGCCAAGTAGAGCCTCTCCAGCGCGCGCGGCTACGCGACCCGACTTCGCTATTTTCTCGTGCATGTGATGGGTGTTGGCTGGCGCTCCGACCGAGTGACTTTATTGAGCGGTTTTTTGTTTGCGGCGAAATATTCTAAACATCAACAAGCAGGCGCGCAAGAAGCGTATCAACGGATCAACAAGCAAAACGAGAACAAGCACGCGGCAAACGGCCTCCTTGTCCTCGGCCCCAGTCCGTGGGGGGTGCCCGCGCCGCCTAGCGCTCTGCAGACGGGCCCCTCCACCCACCACCCTTCATGTAATCATGTAGTCCCCACATTCGCAGTCGTGGGATCGCTTGTCATGTGAGAGAGTATCTACAGTTGTGCCGACTTGGAGCACTTGGAGTGCAGTCATTAACCTCGCATCCAGGGCCGGGGAGCTGAGAAGCGCGCCCGGGAGCACTTGGAGCACTTGGAGTGCAGAAAAAGAAAGAAAGAAAGAAAACAGACCACCCAAGGGTGCAGTATCAACCTCACATACCCGCCATCGTGTTCTTCTCTCTTTCGCACGGCAGGCAACGCCGCTCGCTCGGCCGGGTATTTCGCCGCGCATCCGCCACATTGCTCACACATATGGCGGGTCTCAGTCCCCTCGTCGCGGGCGTGCGCAACTTTGTGGAGCAGCACGTCCCGGAGGGCGACGGACTCGAGGAGAGGATGTTTGGGATGGCGATGTGGCTTGTTCGAGGCAATATGTTCCTCGGCGTCGGCCTTCGCTCCGGGCGGCTCCTACTCCGCGTCGGGGAGGAGAACGTGGAGGGTATCCTCGAGGCGCACCCACTTGGCGTCGAGCGCTGCGGCGCTGCGAGCGGCCGTGTCTTTCCAGGCACTGTCATGGTCGATCAGGAGCACTTTCGCGGCGACACGCTAATGGCACCTTGGTTCGACTACGCGATGGCGCACAACCGCACGCTCTGCTCAAAGGCGTCGGCGGAAAAGCCGCGCAAGAAGCGGCCGCGCGAGGCACCGCCTGCCGCAGATGGAGACGTGGCCGGAGAGGAGGCGACGGAGGCGGCAGCTGGGGAGGCGGCAGCCGGTGCCGGTACCGCGAGGCCGCGCCCGTCCTCAACATCGGGCGGCGCCTTTGCGCGTTGTGTGCTCGACGTGATTCGCCGAATCCCTCGCGGGCGTGTCGCGGCGTACGGGCAGGTCGCCGCCCTCGCCGGCGCGCCGAGAAACGCGCGGCAGGTTGGGCACATGCTAAAGGAGGGGTTGTGCGCCGGAGGTGCGCCATGGCATCGGGTGCTCGGAGCCTCGGGCAAGATCTCGCTGCCTGCGAGCGGCGGTGGCGACGAGCAAAGGCGGCAGCTCGAGGCGGAGGGCGTCGTCTTCCAAGAGGGCGGGGCGGTGGCAAAGGGCGCGCGTTGGGAACGCAGCGAGCCCTTCTACGCGTGATAAGAAACCACTCGCGATGGTCGCCTGTCTGGACTTGGAGGTTGGAGCAACAAATGCGATATGTGTTTAAGTAAATAACTAAAACGGTCAAACTCTGAGACGAGATGCGGGATTAGGGACGCAACAAATGCGATTATGAATCCCCGCTTTTTAAATTACCAAGCGCCAAAGAAGGCGTAGGCGAGCGACCACAAAAAATGCAAAAAAGTTAACAAAAATAAAAAGTTCCGCTCGCGCGGATCCCTCCCGCCCACGGTGTAACCGGTATATAGTTTGGCAGAGGCACGTGTGTGGGGAATTACCATCGTGCACATTCGATCCACCGGTGGGGCGTGCTCCCCGTCTAAATTAAGACGCCGCTCGCGCATTTTTTTATTTTCACGAACGACAATGCGTCGCTTCCGGGCGGGGCCCTGGGTCGGCGCGTTCCGGCCTTTCACGCGGGCGGCTTGATTTCTTATCATTAATATCAAATCCATTAATATCCAATGGGGCGGCTCTCTCCCGCGCCCGGACCGCCGCACCGCCGCGCCGGGCGGCACTGGGCGCGCCGTCCTGAAATCCAGCAGACTCTGCTCCTCGCTACAACTCCTGCTTGTCGCCACTGCCAGTTGCCGGCTTCACGCTCGCCGCTGCCTTCTCGTCCGCCGCCGGCGCCTCGCCGTCCGCCGGCTTGGCGTCGCCCGCCGACTTGGCGTCTGCCTTGCCCTCTGCCGCTGGCTTGGGCGCAGGCGGCGACTTCTTCGCCTCGGCGTCCAAGCTCGCCTGAGGGGCACAGCGCGGACGCGGGCGCCAGTTGGGCTCCGGTGGCGCTCCGGGACGTGTGTCGGTGATGGCTCTGGACAAGCCTGCCTCTCGACCCAATGATGCATGTTCGTGGGGCGCGCGGACTGGTCCTTGAGGAGGCGCGGCCACGTCTCGTTGACGGCTTTGGCGATGGTGAAGGTCATTCTGCCGACCGACGCGAAGGACCAGCTGCTGCTCTCGGGCACAATCTCGCCGTGAAGGTCCAGCTGGAGGGTGAACTGCTTCGGCTTTTGCCGTCCGGTCGCCGAGAAGTCGAGCCGTCTCTCGCTCAAGCGCACCTTCTCGTTGTCGACGTTGAGCACGGTCACGGGCCCGTCGATCCGAGAGGAGAACTTGACGTTTAGGTGCAGAGCGCCCTCGCTCTGCGCCCACTGGAAGGCGCACGCCACGACCGTCTCCTCGGCGTGTGCGCCGACCGAGCCACCGTACCGAAGCAGCGACAGCACCTCTGACGCCTCGTCGCGCGACCGCGTCGCTGCGGAAAGCACCTGGGACATCTCGTCTACCGCGAGCCCTCGGTCGTGCGCAAGCCTCACGAGGTGCGTGGCGCTCTCCCACCACCCTCTCTGCACACAGTCGAGGACATCCTGCTCCGTCGGCGCGTCACCCGTCAAAGTGAAGAGAGACGCGACCTCTGCGGCGGTGGCGGCGCCACGCAGGGGCGTGGCGCCCGCGCAAGCAGCGAGAGTCACTGAGATGACGCCGAGGGCGCAGGGCATGCGTGTGCGTCGCCTGGGCGTGGCGATGACGCACAGCGTAGCGCAGGAAAGAGAGAAATCTGCGCGCCTACAGTTGTAGCAACGACACTTGGAGGCAAATGATCGGAGTGGGAGTCAGAAATGTGGTCCTTGCGCGAGGGGAGCTCGATAGACTCGAGGGGCCAGCGAGGAGGACGGAGTTGCGCCGAAAGGCGAAAGAAGCCGCGAGAACAAGGGACCGGCAGTCTGAGCTCCCCGGCCCTGGATGTGCGGTTACTGACTGCACTCCAAGTGCTCCAAGGGCAGGCGGCGGCGTCGCAGGACGAGGCAGAAGAGAACGACGCGACAGAGGAGGAAGTGGCAAGGGAGAGAACGACGAGAGTGGGACGACCGCGAGGTGGCATGAAGGTTGCAGCGAGAAGCGGCGAGAGACTGCGAAGAGAGATAGGAAGAGGCAGACTCCGAGACTCCCTAGGGTGGGCGACGGCTAGCGCATCACACACCTCTCCTTAAAATCCCAAAACAAACGCTGGCGGCGTGCCGTCCTCCCATCCCTCCCTTGGGTTGTCTGTTTTCTTTCTTTCTTTCTTTGTAGTATTAGGTATGTTGTAGGGCGACATCCGACAAGACAAGCGAACTCGCAGGGGCCCGGATCAGGCAGGGGGATTCGGAACCGAGACCCAATGAGAGACTGCCCACCAGAGGGAATTGGCGGGCTCGGACGTCCTTCCGATGTGTCGAGATGTGGCTGCCTGACGCCAACTCAAGAGCTTTCCGCAGTAAAAAAGAAAAGCTGGGCTCGCGAAGTGCTGGCGCTGCTTCTGCGCCGCGGGCTGCTCGCTAGCGCGTGCCGCCTCCGCGCTTCTCGCTTCCGGCGCCACCGGTCATCACACGACCCGTGCGAGGAGGTAGCGACGGCGTGCGGGTCGCTCCCTCACTGCAATGTCCAGCCAGGCCAGCAGCGCGCTCCTGGCGGACGCGCCGCCAACCACAGCAGGCTCGCCCTCGGAGACCTCGTCGCCGTCTGCTCGACCCGACCGCCCTCTTTTGGTACGCGACGCGGGCTTCTGGACGGCGGTGCTCACGCTCTGCAACGCCGCACTCGGCGCGGGGCTGCTGAGCCTGCCCTACGCCGTCGCGTCGGCCGGTCTGCTGGTCGGCTCACTCTCCACCTGCGTCCTGATTTGCGCGTCCTTTGCGTCGCTCTGCGTCATCATGGGGCTGATGGCGCAGGCCGGGCCGTCGGTCACTTCGTTTGGCGGTCTCGTGCGCTGGGGCTGCGGACCGGCCGCGTCGAATGTGGTCGATGGCTTCGTCTTCCTAAACTCGTTTGGCGCCTGCGTCGGCTATCTCGTCCTGCTGGGCGACGTCGTTCCTCCCATCGTCCTCGACGCGGTGCCTGCAGCGAAGAGCATGAGCGCCGGCCAGCTGCGTGCAGCGGCCGCCTCGGTCGCGTCGCTGCCCTGCCTCCTCCTGTCGATGCTGCGCCGCATCAGCGCGCTCCGCTTCACCGCCGGCGTCGCCGTGTTTGCGTGCTTCTTCACCGCGGGGCTGCTCACCGCGCAAGCGGTCCAGCACCCGTGCCGCCCTGGCGACTGCTACGACGGCGCCGGGCGAAACGGCTGGTGTACCGCCGCGCAAGCGGCCAATGCCAGCAGCGCGGCCGCGTGCTACGCCGATCGGCCGACCGCGGGCGTGTCCCTGTGGCCGGAGAGCGTCAGCGGGCTGCTGCGCGCCTTCCCTCTGCTGATGAACGCGATGCAGTGCCACATCCAGGCCGCCGCGGCCGCAGCGCCCGCCCCCGCCCTCGCCCTCGCCCAGCCCTCGCCCTGGTGGCAGCCTGACCACCTCACCCCAACGACCCGCCTTAGGCCGCCTTCGTCTTTGCAGAGATGCGGCCGGCGCTGCGAGAGTCGAGGCCGCGCACCGC